TTTCAGATGGCTCTAATTTTCAGAACTAGATAAAATAATATTAACTAAAACTCTAATAGTGATTACTATGTGCCAGGAACCATTTTAAGCAATATAATATGTATTTGTACACACATGCTCACATACACATTTATATAGATATTATGTCAATAAATCTTCACAACCATAGGAGGTAGATTCAATTGTACCCTTGTTTGACAGACGAGAAAACCAAGGCACAGGTAAATGACATGATTTGCCCAAGGCCACACAACCAGTAAGTGAGAATCAGGATTTGAACCCGGGCAGCATGACTCTAGAGTCTGTATTCTTAACTGCTATGTTTTACTGCCCCTTCAATCTTTATAATTTTCCTTCATGCCTAGTACAGAGTTTGGCACATTGTAGGTGCTCAATAAAAATATTTTTCGACAATTTGATTTCAGGATCATGATTCCTTCCATCTTCCCATTAGTTTTACAGTCATCATTTGGCACCAAGATATGGTAGAAACAGAATTTTAAATGATGATTAATACTCTGCACACTTCAAGAAAGCATTGAGGAGAGAAATAGGTGCATAATATTCACTATAAAGTACTACTCAGCCAGTTGCCACCTTTAGCAGTGGGTCCTTGAACAATTTCAGTTTAAGCTCTAGAAGGAAGTTCTAAACATGCAATGCGAGGCTTGTTGTCAGTGCATCTCCTTTGTCCTCCTTTTTCTTACTCTGTCCTTGCCTCATTGTCCTATGCAAGGATGAGAGGAATCATTTCATCTCAGCAATGCTACTTATTATTATGGTCTGTCTTTCTCTACCACTATTCAGCTTCCTGTCTCACTTATTTGTCCATCTATTTTATCCATCTATCCATCCATCCATCCATCCACCCACCCATCCATCTAGCATTATATGCCATGTACCACTAGGTGCTTGTGTATTGACACTAGAAAGGAGGAGATGGAAAGACAGTAATAGATTCTTCCTATTTACTTAGTCCATATTATTCAGAAATCATATGTAGGCATTCAAGATGACTACTTTAGAGTTGATAAAACCCATTCCAAAAAGAAGTGTATTTTAATCCACAGTGTGAGAGTTAAGCATTCTTTAACTAGAAAGTTCGATTCCTTTTTTTTCTTTTAAAGTCTTTGCCTCACTTCTTTTGAATGAAGCTTATCATAGAGTATTATTATAGTTTATCCAAAGCCTTGAGTCATAATTGACATTTATGCAGTCAACAATAAATAGGGAAGAGATAATTCTCTAAGGAACCTTTCCATAGGACATGAATTGTTAATTCTTCTGTGGAACTTGAAGAACCATCTGTATTTGCAGGCTACTCTCAGGTGGTGGTCGCAATAAACATTGGTTTGTGCCTGAGGCTGGTCTCAAAGCATGGATGTCTTAGTAGAAGAACTCAGCATCTCCTGAATAAGGTGACTGTCTAGATGGGCTTAGGCACCAGCCTACCCTTGTCTATTCAGATAGGCCAGGCTTTTGCAACCACAGCAGAAGTGGCTTAGCTCCCATCTGGGGCTTGACATGTTTCTGACTGGACCTTTTCCTCCTGAATTGAGGCTTGGGCATGGCCTTATATGTTTTGTTATGTTATATTTATTATATATCCTGGGTTTTCACTGCACCATAGAGGAAGGATGATCCTGAAGTAGAAACAGCAGGGACATGAAAGGACCAGGTGGAAAGGAGGTTCCTTTATACCATGATATCTTCAAAGTAGGTTACTTGGATGAAATACTTCACTTCTTGGTTTAGTCATCTTCTTACCCCAAGTGTCATCATTTGCTTGGGTGACCACTTCTCTCCTACACCCTCTCTCAGCTCTTAGAATTCACAATTTGGATGATCTTGAGACTTTTTGTTTTATATCTATGAAGATGCTAAGTCTACTAATTAAATCAAAGACGCTGAAGGAGAAGATTTACAAGACCTAAATTCTGTGATTCTACTTAGCTTTTTTTACCTTCAGAGAAATCCAGCCCCTTGCTCTCATTCATGCCCTTCCTTCTGGTGGAAAACTATTAAGTTAATGGAAGATTTCATGTGCCGTCTATTTCTGCCCCATCTTTTCCTTTCAGAATTCTTTCTTAGTTCCATGTTGGTTATGTGCTCTTCTCTGCTGGCCAGAAGGAGGGCAGCTTAGAACTCAAGCATGCCTTTACCCTTTGATGGATCTCAGTATTCTTTTCTTTAAAATGAAGGGATTGAACCAATCAACTTCAGAGGCTTTTTGTCGAAGTGTTTCCATGGAACAGAAACTCACAGGATTTCATATCTGAAAAACTTGATTTGTGTGTGTGCATGTGCATGTGCGTGTGCGTGTGTGTGTGTGTGTGTGTGTGACAGAGATAGGCATATACACAGAGTTTTACAGGAGATAGGATTAGAAGGCAGTAATCAGACATCAGAAGTCTTCTGTTATGGGCTGAATTATGTCTCTCCTTGGCTATTCATATGTTAAAGTCCTGACTCTCAGTACCTAAAATGTGTCCTATTTGAAGATAGGGTTTTTACCGAGGTAATTGAGTTAAAATGAGGTCAACACCTTCATCTGAACTTCAAGCTTCCAGAAATGTGTGAAAATATCTGTTGCTTAAGCCACCCAGTCTGTCGTATATTGTTATGGCAGCCCAAGCAGACCAATACAACTAATACATCTTCTATATCTGATTCCAAAGTGCAAAAAAAAAAAAAAAAAAGGAAAGGTTCAACGACCTCCTCTTGTAGGTTACCTCACCGGCCTCACAGGCCTTTAGGCAAATACTCAGTGCCCTTTGGCCTGAACCTGGACTTGACTAAGAAACCTAGCCTCCATGACACTGCAGGAAAGGAAATCTGGGAACTTCTATGACACAATTCAGTCTTGCTGAGAATTTTGGGCTAATATTTAACTCTGGACATACATTGACATGGCCAATTCTTCTATAATTGCTTCACACAAAATTTTAAAATGCATTAAAAAAGCCTTGATTTTTATCTTAATTCTTTTACTCTTATTTGTTTTTTTGTGGGGGGGGGCATAATGTAGTGTCTTATTTGCCTCTTTTATAATTTGTGTTCTTTTTTTCATTCTTGCCACTGTTTTTCTTTGGACTTCTTTGGGCATTATATTTTTCTTTTCATTCTCTCCATGTTTGTTATCCACATTCTACAACAGGTTCATTCTCCTTCCATCACATGCATTATCTAGCTCCACCAGGCCTACTGTTCTTCATTCCTCTATAGCACTTCCCACTTTTCTTTATTGCTGTCTGCTTCTCTCTCATCGTCCTTGCCTCTGTCTGCTTAGTCCTTCTCTCCTCCAGTTTCCTTTTTTTTTTTTTTTGGCCTCTGCATTCAGTTTCTAGCTCCAGTCTCCCTTCTCTGCTCTTTCTTCTTTCCTTTCATCTGCTGACTTGCTTCCGTCCCCACCTTCTGTTCCCCTCCTGGGCGTTTCTTTGGCCCACCTTTCCTTCTCCTCTGAGACTTCGTTTTCTTGGTGGTAGATGGGGGATGATACTGTAAACATCACAAAAATAATTGCATTGAGAACAGGTGGTTCCCTTGGTGTGTCCCAGAAGACAGAGCCTTTGAGTTAGCCCAGAATGCCTGGGCTCCATGTGGTACAGGAGACAGCATTGGTGCTGGAAGGATGTCTAGGCCTCAGTCACAAGACCCAAACTTCTAGAACTCTGGGACTCATCTCTGACCCCCACCCCCTCTCCAGCTAGAAATTGTGAGACACTGGGTCACCTGGGAAGAGAAAGAATTGACCTGCGTTTGTCCCCTCAAGCATGCTTCTCAACAACATTCACCTAAGTTACTTCCATGATGCTTGCTCCCTGACTTACCCACTGGCTACTGTGTTCTCTGTGCACCAGATTATGCCCAAGCCCTTTCCATCATTCATGGTGACTCCCTGAGGTCACTTCTCCACTAAGCTCCTGGTCCTCCTCCAGGTTCAGCTGCAGTGTAGGACCAGGAAGCAGCACATGTGTCACTGTGAACTTCTTGGTTTTTCTTCTTATGCTTTCTGCACAGTGCTAGTTTTGGCTCCAAAGAGTAAAACCACAGTTTTTTGTTTTTGTTTTTTCATTTTGTTTTTTAAACAGTGTCCCCAAGGAGACCTGCTTGGGCTTTACTCTCCTTACCCACCCTTCCTCGCTTTCTTTTTTCTCCTTCACCTATCCCCTATTTTTCAGTTCTCATTCTTTCTACTTCAGGACTAAAATTTAATCACTTCTCATTTGTTCACTCATTTATTCACTCATTCAACAAAACTTATCAAGTGACTAATATGCATCAGATGATTTATGTACTTTTGATGGCATAGATAGTAGCTCTAAGGTTTGTTTGAAATCTAGGTCATAGAAAAAGACACCTACAGATTTTGATCATTAGAAATTTCTAGGTATTCTTAGAGCCAAACAAAAATTTCTATGTTTAATGGGTTTTTTCTTTAATAAGTTTGCCATTGAACGTGAATTTCAAATAGTTCCCATTTTAGCATACTTTTTTTCTTTGCAACTTTGCAGAATACCAGGACTTGAAAAGTTACATGCTTTGTTATTAATTACAATTATGAAAGATGTGAACACTTGTCCAACAGTTACTTTGTGCAGGATGTGAAAAGAATTGCATGTGTATTTATTAATTCTTAAAATGACTTGATGTAGAAGGTATTATTATCCCAATTTTACTGATGAAACTAAGGTTTGGATAGATTATGTTATTTGGCCAAGGGCTCTCAGCTGGTGACTGGTGAAGCTAGGACTTCAGTTTTGTCTGATACCAAAGCTCATGTTTAGTGACTGTTCTCCATTGTCTTCTGGTATCAGATAGCCCAGAACAGTGGAAAGAATTTGCAATGTGGAGTGACCAAAGGGATGGACATCTGAGGTGAGAATGCTGCTTTTTTTGACCCGTAAGCCGGGAGATTGTGGGGCATAATTTGTTTGGTCTACCCACAGGTATCCTCAATATCTTGAGGATGGTGGATCCCTCCCCACCAACAGGCTTACCTTCTGAGCCTTGGGCATGTCAGTGTGGCGCTGGGCACGGACTGAGCGGGCAGACTTGGCAGGCTTGAGGGGTGCGCAGTACATCTCTAGCCTCCTCAAATCACAGCTCCGGAAGCAGCACTCGTCCACGATGCCTGTCTGAGGTGCCCTCCGACTGCTGGAGCCATACCCCGTGGGCTTGTCTGTGCAAATCAAACACAGAGTGGCCTAGCTTTAGAGGGGAATTGGCTATCTTCACAGGTCTACCCAGCCCCTGAAGCCTCTCCTCTCCTCACACCTGGCAAATTTCCATGTCTCAACGTCTTCATGAAACTTCCCCAACAATTCCTGACCTAACAGATCCTTCTGGATTCCAGTGTGTCTCTGGACTCTGCCTCAAACTCCTTAGCACTAACTCAATGCACCATGTACTTTGTGTTAATTCTCGAGTTCTCAGAAACCTGTAGTCAAGGATCTTGTCTATGCACAAACTTAATCTTTCCTTATATATTCACTTAGTTTGGAGGCTGCTAAGAATATTAATTAAAAGAAGATCATGTTTTAAATTTTCTTCATCTTTTTAGCAAATCTGCATAGTTTTTATGTGCAGGGTGGCTCAAGTGTTTGCTCTTTTGCTTAACAGCTTCCATTGTAACATCAGGTTGAGTATCAAAGGGGTTTTAAGTCTGGAAAGGGCTCCTCATTTTACTGATGTGGAAACTGAGACTCAGAGTGGGGAATGACTTGCTTCAAGTCATTCATGCAATAAGGGGTTGAATCAGGATTCAAACTCAGATCTATTCCCTGCAGAGTTCAAGTGGCTCAGAGAGCCCAGGAGACCTGTTGTGTAGCTATGGACAAGTTATTTAAGCCTCCTGGGCCCAGTTTATCTTTTGTAAAGTAGGCTTAATAGTATCTTTGTTATAAGGATTCTTTGAGGATTACATGAGATAATGTATGAATCGTGCTTAGAATATCACCTGACATAGATCAGATCCTAAATAAATGTTAGTTTACTTTCTCTGAGTACCCTTTCCAGGATCTTACATAGTCTGTGAAGAAACAACTTTAGTATTAAGTGCATCCTGAAGCCTTAGAATTTAGAATTGATAACAGTACTAGTGTGATGGGGCTTCCTCTCCTATCATCCTGGAGAGACCAGAACAATCAATTCTGTTTCTTATAGAATTACTACACTGAGACAGAATGAACTAAATGTCCATCTTTCATGTGATTCTAATTGCCCAGATGGCACATCATGAATCAAATTTCTTTTGATATTTGCAAATTAGACCTCTTTACTTGGCGAATAGGTTTTGGTTTAGTTTTATTTTGGACACAATTTTCCTGGCTCTAGAATTAAAAGAGGGGGCAAAACAAGCTTATGTGAACTTGCCACGGGAACTTAAAATGTACCTGAGTTCCTTGTAAGCTTTTTGTTAAAGTAGAACTTCTGTTAAACCAAATCTTGCCTATACACCAATAGATAAAGCAGACAAAAGTGAAACTCCTCTGGCTCAGACAAAGGCAGGGGGGACTGGATCTTGGCTTTCTCTCATCTCCCTTACCTCCTCTGGGAGGTGGGGAGCCTGGTCTTCTGCACTGATATCCAGCCTTCCTGGAGGAATATTTATGAACCACGGATCCTGAAAAATCCAACTAATCAATCTGGCATATATTCAATCTTTATTGCCGACACAGAAGACAATGTTATATTTTAAATAAAAAGCCTCATGTTTGTGTAATAATGACACCATTCTTCAGAATGGCGTTTTGAAAGTCAAAATCCCCATGTATATTTTGAACTCCCTAGTTAGAGAAGATCAGACCCATAGTAATGGCCTGCTACCAAACTAGTTTGGCTCCCTTGCTGCTTGAAGGGCCAACCATTCATGGCATCCTCTACAAACCCAAATGTTTTCCTGATGTTTGGCACAGGAGCCTGGGGATGCTTCCTCCCTGTAAGTCAGGTTTCTTGTCATTCTTAGGGCAGCTGGGGGTAGTAACTCAGTGAGGGTTCATTTGTGGTCTCTTTGGGTGGGGTCTGCTTTCTCACTTAGGGGCAAATCCAACCTCATGGTTGAGGGGTTTGGGAGGGACCAGGCAGCTGGCCCCAGCTGAAGCCTCAGTAGTGCTTTCACTTGCCATTGCCACTAGTGCTGAAGACTCTCTGGTTCTGCTTGCCAACCAGGCCCTGGCAAGCTGAGACTCGGCCAGTCCCCTGGGCAATGTAAACAATGTTTTTTGTTTTTTGTTTTTATAATCTTTTCTTGGGACTATAAATTAGAGGAAGAACACAAATGGGTTTACATGGTTCTTTGTAATCCACAAAGGACTTCTACATACTTTTTGCTAAGTGGTTATTTCAAGAGGTTGAAGGGGTCAGCCAGTTAAGAGGAGCTGATACACTGGTTTTTCTCTTGGGGTGGGAAGGCGAAGGTGGCTTGGCCTACTTTGAGGAATCCCTGTTGTTCACCATAGGTAATGGTTGCTCTTTGTCAAAACTATACATCTCTTAATGGAACATAATTGGGATTTTTTTCTTGTATAGTATAGAATAATAATTTTATGTTTGAAGGTGGGGTGGTAAAGGTGGTTCCAAAAACCTTCAAACTTGGCTAACTCAGAAAAAACTAATTTCAAAATTCATGCTTATGGGTTGAAGATAGAGAGGTTAGGGTTTGCAATTCCAGGATCTCTTTAGCATTTCCATTTCATGCATCTCTAATGTAATCTTCATTCTGGAGGAAGACACCACCCTTAGTCTTGGGAAGGCAGAAAACACTGTATATATTGCATATTCCATTCTTGGAGACTATCAATAGCCATGAAACTCACCACAGGTCTATTTCCTCTTATGAAATAGAAAGTAATCATCAGCACAGCAAAAAAATAATAACACACACTGGGCATCTGCTTTGTCACCTTTCTTAGATGAACTCAGAGTTTTACATGGCTCAGTCTATAAAATAGCTGTGCTTTTTCAGTCCATAGATCAATGAATTTAGGAGCAGAAATTTAGGACTTTTCTGTAATGTCCCATAAAAAAGTTTACCTTTTGTCCATATCTTTTATTTTTATTTTTTAAAAATTTTATTATGTTATGTTAATCACCATACATTACATCATTAGTTTTTGATGTAGTGTTCCATGATTCATTGTTTGTGTATAACACCCAGTGCTCCATTCAATACGTGCCCTCTTTAATACCCATCACCAGGCTAACCCATCCCCCACCCCCCTCCCCTCTAGAACCCTCAATTTGTTTCTCAGAGTCCATAGTGTCTCATGGTTTGTCTCCCCCTCCAATTTCCCCACCTTCATTTTTTACCTATTGCCCTTTAAAGTTTAATTCATCCTTTGAAGTGTCCTATAGGTTAGATTTCTGGTTCTACATCAAGATATGTAACCAAAAAAATCATTTCTCACTAATTGGGAGGCCACAGTTGAGGGTCAAAGTTTTGTCCTTTATCTTCAAATGCCTCGTATTACTTCTTTTTTTTTTTAATTGAAGTATAGTTGACATACACTATTATATTAGTTTTAGGTGCACAACATAGTGATTCAACATTTATATACGTTTTGAAATGATCACCATGATAAATCTAGCTACCATCTGTCACCATACAAAGTTGTTACAATGTTATTAACTATTCCCTGTGTTGCACATTGCATCCTTGTTTCTCATTTATTTTATAGCTGGAAGTTTATACCTTTTAATCCCCTTCCCTTATTTTGCCCACTCCTCACCCCTTTCCCTCTGGCAACCACCAGATTGTTTTTTATATCTATGAATATGTTTCTGTTTTGTTCTGTTTGTTCCTTTTTGTTGTTTTTTGGATTCCACATATAAGTGAAATCATATGGTATCTGTCTTTATCCATCTGACTTATTTCACTTAGTATGATACCTCTAGGTCCATCCATGTTGCTGCAAATGGCAAAATTTCATTGTTTTTTTATGGTTGAGTAATATTCCATTGTATATACTTTTTACCACATCTTTTTTGTTCATTCATTTATTGATGGACACTTAGGTTGCTTCCATATCTTGGCTATTATAAATAATGTTGCAATGAACATAGAGGTACACATATCTTTTCAAATTAGTGTTTCATTTCCTTCAGATAAATACCCAGAAGTGGAATTGCTGGATTATATGATCTATTTTTAATTTTTTGAGGAACCTCTGTACCGTTTTCCATAGTGGCTGTACCATTTTGCATTCCCACCACCAGTACAGTCACATTACTTTTTTTTCTAGAACTAAAATAAAGACATTTTTTGCTATGGGCTAAAACTACAAGTCTGAAACAATGTAGTTTACTAGAAAGCCATAAAATCATTTGCTCCAGTATCGATTTTGAGAAAAATGGGGATTTTTTAATGACTGTAAATTATAGCTGTTGTCATTATGATTAATTTTTAAATGAGATGGAATGAATGGTTCTATCCTTGCCTTTATAAATTCCTCATTGGAATTACATGAACTATGTAATTCTGCTCCAGTGGGCAGTGTCAGAATTGGTAGGTGAATGGGAAATAAATATTGCCTTAATATAAGAAAAAAACTAACAATTTGTACTCAAAAGTGTTAAAAATGGGACAGACTTCTTTTAAAGGTAATGAACTTCCCATTGCTAGAAACAGTTAAGTAAAGGCTGTATGAACACCTGCCAGAGATCTCAGAAGCATATTCCTGTATTGTACACAGTGTATGACTGCCATGGTCCTGTCTATTTCAGAGATTCTGTAACAAGTAAAGAAATGGAGGAGAAAACCCATCTAGGCCAAATATTCAGTATGGTTGGAAGCTACTTACATTGTCTTCAGGAAATAGGTTCAAATATTTTTTAACTTAGAAACTGAAGCTATTTTTTTCTATTTATTATTTGAGTTCCCCAAGAGGCTTAAAATATTTTTCCTCACTTGAGACTACCACAAAAGAAATAGAATAGAAAAAGGATAGTCCTTTCTACAAGTAGGTACAGTCCCAGAGTTCTGTGGAATTGGCGTTATGAAGTGGCCATATACTCACTTAACCATCAGCATGAACAGATAAACATGGATAAAATTTCACAGACTTTTTCTTGCTGATAGAGTCTTGACATTGAAAATCTATTTATATACTTATTTATTTATTTATTTATTTATTTATTTATTTATTTATTTATTTTGTCATCAGTTTTGCTCTAAAGCTTGCA